AGGCTACAAGGGAAGGTAGAACACACACACCCCTCCCCCCGCCCAGGCCCTTCTCGGAAATCTAAGCCAGAGCCCTGGAGAAGACAGGGTGAAGGGGGACAGCAGGGACTTCACAATGGTCCGGCCACTCAGCCGCTGCCAGGCCACGCTCTGGTCCCTCACGTGTCAGCAGCTCTTCCCCACAGGAGGAATTGAAAGCACAGCCCCAGACAGAGATGGGGACCCCAGCAGCACTGAGAGCTGGAGGTGGCATGGGAGCCCCAGTTCTCTGGAGATGCCACCATGAGTGAGGGGCCTGCATGAGTGGGCACCCCTTGGGAGGTGACAGAACAAACCCCCCATACCCCTTCTCCATTCCCCTGCCCCCGTGGCCTCCAAGACCCCCAGCCGAGCCCAGTCTCTCCTGACTCCAAGGGACACTCCTGGTGTCATCAAAAAGGCAATGCCACAGTTCGGGTGACCTTGGCTCCCAGCACTGAAGGAGATGACAGATTCCTTTTCTGCCTGCTGAAAACATAATCCATCCTTTCATGGGTCTCTGGGGACCAGCAGCGCGGCACACACGTTATGGAAGCTTTCGCTGGGGCTCTCTTCAGTCATCGACGGCGCTGGCTCAGCGCCCACTCCTCCTCGAGCCTTTCAGAGACTGGGAGAGCATTTCCCGCCGAGGGGCAGATTGCGGGCCGCTCCTGGAAAGCAGTCTACATCTCTATTCAGTGCTGCTGTCCTGGTTTGGGGCCTTTAATTTCTTAACGTAAGAACAAGCTCCGGGACCAGCAGATGGCATAATGGTTAAGTCTCTAGACTCCCATGTAGTAGACCACAGTTCAAGTCCTAGACCCGGTGACTTAAAACTCATGCCAAGCGTACCCAAAATCCTGAGAGGAGAGGAGAAGGGACTGCGGTGTGGCCGTCCCCCCAGGGGGCGACTTATCACTTTCTGTCTCTGTCTCTTTCTGGTGAACGCATGTGCCCTATAGCAAACATCTCTCTTTAAAAAAAGAAACAAGAAAGGACGAGCTCCTACCCCATGCCAGACCCTGGGAACCGCTGACCAAAGGGGTCTACCCTCAGGGACCTCAGACCTGTGAGCCCCACCCAGGCCTGAAGCTCTGGAGGGTCTTCCCACACCCTGAGACCTCAGGCCAAAGGGCTGACAGTCAGGCGCTCGGTATGGAGGGATCCTCCTTTTTTTTGGAGAGGTTTTTGCTATCGGGCGCGTGCGCTTGCCAGACAGACAGAGAGAGACCGAGAGACAGAGAACGAGAAATCACCCCCCAGGGGGAATGGTCACGCCGCATTTGAGTGCATTTATTTATTTACTTTTAATTTGCCAGTGGGCACATGTGCTTGCCAGACTCAGAGAGACAGACACAGAGAGAAGAGGGAGAAATGTACACCCTCCGCCTCATGGGACATGGTCACACCGCCATCCCTTCCTTTTCATGTCTCCATCCTATTGGGATTTGGGACACACATGCATATGTGCCTGGCATGTGTTTCAAGCCAGCAGGGCAAGGATTCAACCCTCACTATTGTCATGTGGGATCCAGCTTCCCTGACCACCTGGCCCAGGTGCTTCTATTTTGGTGAGGAAGGTATATTCAGTTATTTTTTAAGGTTTATTCCATGAGTGAGAGAGAAAGAGAGAGAGAGAGACTACATACCCAACAGGATCTTGACCCCGTGCCAGACCCTGGGAACCGCTGACCAAAGGGGTCTACCCTCAGGGACCTCAGACCTGTGAGCCCCACCCAGGCCTGAAGCTCTGGAGGGTCTTCCCACACCCTGAGACCTCAGGCCAAAGGGCTGACAGTCAGGCGCTCGGTATGGAGGGATCCTCCTTTTTTTTGGAGAGGTTTTTGCTATCGGGCGCGTGCGCTTGCCAGACAGACAGAGAGAGACCGAGAGACAGAGAGCGAGAAATCACCCCCAGGGGGAATGGTCACGCCGCAATCCCTTCTCCTCCGTTCTCCTCTCGGGATCTTGGGCACGCACACACACGCGCCCGGCGTGAGTTTTAAGCCACCAGGTCCAGGATGCGAACTGCGGTCGACTACGTGGGAGTCCAGTGACATAGCCATTACGCTAACTGTTGGTTCCCAGGAGGGATCCTCCTTGAGGACTGGCTGGGGAAGTACTGATGGGGTGCAGGTGGGGCAAACAGAGGCCCGGCCACACCAAACCAAGGGTGCCCTGCCAGGGAGTGCAGGCTTCCTCCTGAGAGCTATTGAGAAGCCACGCCAGCAGATGGCCTTCTAGAAAGATCTAGAGGGGCCTCAGCAGGACGGAGGGGGTGCCACCCAGACGAGGCAGGAGTCCCTCACCCGATGCTTCTGGGAACAGCCACTGAGAGGACCCAGAGCAGAGTGAGCGGGGACAGAGACCGACGAGAGGGCGGTGCAGGTCCTCCCGTGAGCACCGCGTGGGGGCTGGCCGGAAGGAGAAGGAAAGTGGAGCACTCGGCCAGGGCACGCTGGGCTGCGGAATGCGGAGACGCCCCATGGGCAGGAGAGGGTCGTTCCACGCAAAGTGCACCTCAGGCCTGCAGGGCGCTGGCACCTCACTGCGCCCTGGTGAGGGGCCTGGCCCTGGGGACGGTCCACCGCAGGAACACGGTTGTCTAATACTCAGAGGGGTGCAGGACCGTGCCCCTGGGAGATGGGCCCTTAGGCTGAGGCCTGCTGGGGCCGGGGGGGAGATGAGGCCCCAGGAACGGGAAGAGCACGGGCATCTGACCGCCACGCAAGGACAGGGAGGGGGAGGGTGGGCTGGAGGCACATGGTCGCCCAGAAATGGCCTCTTCCTTCCTTCTCCAATTAAAGGCAACCCCGGAACCCTAGCCCTAACCCTAACTGAGACCCGACCCTAACTGTAACCCTAATCCAAACAAAACACAGAAAGAATGAAGGCCGTCTCTGCCAGTGGGTGTCCACCAGGGGAGGAGGCGGGAGGGCCGTCAAAACCGCACGCCTGGCCAGCCCACAGCTGGCAAAGGCCAGGTTAACACACCACTGGACGCCACCGTGTCACATGCTGCACTGCGACAGAGCCTTCCCCTCACGGCAGGAGCAGCGGGACTGCGCAGACCAGCAGGGCAGAGCTGGACCACGTGACGTGGGGAGCCCGTGACGTGAGCATGCATTGACTGGCTCCCAAAGGACAGGCGTGAATCTGAGCCTGGAGGCAGACCTCAGGCCACGCACGAGGCTAACTCTCTAAATGAGCAGAAATTTTAAATATATAAATGAAGCCATGAAAGTATGAGCAGAAAGTGTGGGTACATTTCTTTCCACACCTGGAGAGAAGGCTTTTTGAACTGTGACTCAAATTTAGCAATCACTGGGGCTGACAGGCGGTGTGGTGGTTATGATGCTGGACTCCCACATGGCCAACAGTGGTTCGGGTCCTGGACCTGGCAGCTTGCTTTTTCGCTTTCCCTTTCTCTTTTTCTCACTGTCTCGGTTTTTGCTATAGGGCGCGTGCACTCGCCAGACAGAGACATAGAGACAGAAAGCGAGAAATCACCCCCCAGGGGAGATGGTCATGCCGCAATCCCTTCTCCTCCATTCTCCTCTCGGGATCTTGGGCACGCACGCACACGCACCCGGCGTGAGTTTTAAGCCACCGGGTCCAGGACGCGAACCGTGGTCGACTAGGTGGGAGTCCAGCGACATAGCCATTATGCTAACTGCTGGTTCCCAGGCAGCTTGCTTTCTTAATTTCCCTTTCTCTCTCTGTGTCTCCCTTTGGTCAAATTTAAAAATAATAATAATAACAAATCAAATTAATAATTTTTTAAATTAGCAACCATAAAGATTACACAATAATCTAAAACTTATGCAAAACAAGAGCTATTGCAAACAAAGTCAAAAGGCCAACTGGGAAAAAATATTCGCAATGCAGAGCACTGCCAGAGGGATGAATGTGTAATATGTAAAAAACTGTCAGAAACTAAGAAGGAAAAGGTCAATAACTCAGTAGGAGAACAGAGTGGGACACGAATATACGATACACAGTGAGGCAGAAGTGCCCGGCACGTGCAGAGACACCAGCTCGCCCGTCGCCAGGGCACTGCCCAGCACCCAGCAGCGGCCCTGTGGCAGGCCAGGCAGGAGAGCAGGCCTTAGCACCCGTTGCCGGTGAGCCGTGAGAAGAGGCGCCACTTCCGCTGCAGCAATCTGGTAGTGCCTACTAGAACCATCTTGTGGGCCGCTCCACGCACGGCTGGTGAAGGCAGCCAGATCCCACTGACAGACGGCATGGCTGGAGTCCTGGATCCTGCAGCTCGACACACAAACGGGCACGTTGCGTGCATGCCCAAAATCTTAGGAGAACAGAGAAGGGATTGTGGCATAGCTGTCACCCCTGGGGGATGATTTCTCACTTTCCTTCTCTCGGCCTCTGTCTGTCTCTAGGGTGAGTGCATGCACCCTATAGCAAAAATCTCTCTAAAAAAAAGAAGTTTAAGGCAAACAGGTGGTGTAGTGGTTACAGCAGCTGGATCCCTCATGGCCTACTGCGCTGTTTGAGTCCCGGACCCGGCAGCTTGAAAAACACGCTGGACACGTGTATATGTGTGCCCCAAACCCCAAGAGGAGAATGAAGGGGTTGTGACATGGCCATCCCCTTCCTCACTTTCTCTCTCCCTCTCTGTCTCTCTCAAGCATGCGCCCTACAGTCCCCAGCCCCTCCCCCCGCCCCACAGAAAAGTCTCTGTGGCACGGTAACACACTGGCCATGCTGCCACTGCCTGTCTGGGTCCACTGTCCCCTCTGCTCAGGACCCCTGCAGCCACCCCGCAATGGTGACAATGGCTCCCGTGCCCTGGCTCTGGGTCTGGCCCTGTCTGGGGAGAGGGACAGAGGCATTTACCCGTCCCTGCAGGCCGCCCCAGGCCAGCTGCACCCTTGACCAAAGGTCACGGCCCCTGCCAGGCAGTCCCGATTGCCCCTCTGCCCCTCAGGCCTGGCGCAATAAGGACAAAAGTCACCCTTCAACTTCCGCGTGGCCTACACACACCCAGAGCTCCTCACAGCACACTTCGCGGTTGTGGGGCTGAGCAAGCCATCTGTTTCCTGCCAGGCCCCTGACCGGTGCAGCAGCTGTTTGTCAAAGGAAGAGGGCATGCTCCAGGTTCGAGCTGGAAAGACTTCCAGGGCACGTTCTTGAGAAGAGGGGCCTGGAGGCAGGCGGCGGGCAGGCGGCCCAGTCTGCTTGTATCTGCGTGAAGGAGAGCCAGAGCACTGCACCAGAGACTGATGGCGGGGCGCCTGAGCGGTAGGTGAGGGAAAGGGCATGAGGGCGTTTTCCTGCGTGTTTCTGTCCTGTTTCTGCCCCCCGCTCAGCCTCTCAGAACCTGGGAAACTGCTCAAGGAACTTGGCCCTTCTTCACCGAGCTTTCCCGGGAACCTGGGTGTTTATGTCCCCGCATTCACCTGTTGCCCCCTAACCACGTTGTGACGGTTACGGGAGGCGATCCGAACTTTAATGCCCTGATGACAGAGACCGAGGAGCCCCTGACCCGGGGAGGTCATGGTGAGAGGACGAGTCTGCGAGCAGGTGGCATGGCCCCAGCAGCTCTGAACCGGCCAGGCCTCGGTCTTGGACTTCCCAGCCCCCAGGACTGCGAGAAACAAATCCCGTTTATAAGACCCTCGCAGCCCCAGCCTGTTCAGAATCACCTGAGACTAGTTTAAGGACACAGAGGCCCACGGTACTCTTCATTTGGAGGTCCGGGCCCAGAGCCACACCTGGTGAGGGCCCTGCTGAGAGGCACGCACAGGGACAGGGCTGGAGGGGAGCAGCCTGCCTCACCTCTCACCACACTGAGCAGACACACCTGCACTCCATCCTACTCACCTGCTGGAGCAGGCAAGTAGGCCCACCTGATGCTGGCCTCTTCCCAAAGCCTGCGTCCGCCATGCCCAGATGTGTCCTCCTCATGCCTCGGCTGTGTAACCGAAGTCCAGCACAGGACTCAGTGGGCCTCCGACCCATGGCCCAAGGCCAAGCTCTGTGGTGGCAGCTGGACAGACTGAGTCAACAGCTCCTCCATTGCTCACCAGGGAGGAGGTGGGCCTCAGGGTGCTGCCTCCAAGCAGGAGCAGGGCAGGAAGCCACGAGGTTGCTGGAATTCCATTCCCAGGCTCTTAGACGCATCCATAAGCTCTGACTCACTGAGTCGTCTAATAGTGATTTGTTTCAAGGAAAATAAAAATTAGTTCCAGACTCTGAGCTGTGGACTGCGGCCAATATGAGCAAACATGGTAACCTTTAGATACACACAGAAACATGCTTCCATGAGCTTCATTTGCATGGTTATGAAGCATTTACATACAAAAACACCATCCGCCTATTGTCGATACTGCAGGGGAGTATCAGGCTAAAGGAAGCCACATGTGTTTATCAGATTTTGCCCAAAAAGATCAGACAAATTACTTGGCGCCAATCATTTTCAGACGATTTTCATCCAAAAGCAACTGGCTCTGCATCCCATCTTCTCTTCTCCCATTTTCTTCCCTGTAAAAGAATAACCCTGAGGTCTGATCCTGGTCGCAGCTTTCTCTATCAGAGAAGTCAGGCCCACCCGACCCTCACTTTTCTGTACTCACATGTCTTTGTGTGTTTGTTGTTATGTTTATTTCTAATCCACAGCCTCCCCATTAAGAAAAACATGTTCAGCTGAGAAGGTCTCGACGCTGAGCCTATCTGGGGACCCTGAGAGGGAAGAAGCTTCAGAGAGTCCCATGCTGGCCTCTGGACCTCTGTGGGGGTTCCCAGCAAGCTCCATACATGTCTTCTGCACTTCTCATCTCCTCTGGCTCCTAAAACACCATGCTGAGCCCTGCACCCTGACCCCTCCCTTCAGCCCCACTTCCCCAGCCCAGTGGGGCAAATGACGTGAAGGCTCTCCTCAAGACACCCTCATAGGAAGTTGGGGCTAGACACTCCGGGTTTTATGGTGGGGAGGCAGGCACCTGTGTTTGTCGTGGGGCATGTGCACTCACCAGAGAGAAGCAGCAAGAGGGAAAAGTGAAAAATCACCCCCCAGGGGGGACGGTCATGCCACAGTCCCTTCTCCATTCTCCTGGGGTTTGGGACAGGAACGCACATGTGCCTGGCATGATTTTCAAGTTGCCAGGTTCAGGACTTGAGCTGCAGTCAGCCATGGGGGAGTCCAGCACCTTAACCACCACACCGCCTGCTGGCCCTGCCCTTCATTCGTTCAGACTGTACCTCGCGTTGACCTCACCCCTCTGAGTTTGCATCCTGCCCAGCGCAGAGAGAAGGTGATGGGTTTGGCCACTCTCCCAGGTCTTGTGAACAGACTCCTCTCCTCTCCTTGCTGTCCAGCAGCAAGCAGCCTGACCCTGAGCCAGGGGTTCTGAACAAGCACCAGCCTGTCCGGGCACTGCCAGCCCTTCCTCTCATGGTTTCTGTTTAATCTGTGTGTTCTGTAAGGCATTCTGTAATCCGAGGGTATAACCATGCGCTTGTTTCCTGTAACACTTTAATTCTTTGGCTTCTTATGTTGAGGTCTTTGATCTACTTGGGAATCATTTTCTAAGTCATGTGATAGGGATCTGCACTTGGTCACTGTGCTGAAAGTATGGTGTCCAGTCTTGGCTCTTGGCCCCCACTCTATCCTGTCCTTCCCTTGCTTGGCCCTGGCCCAGGCAGAGCTGGCTCCCACCCAGGCTGGGTTTCCAGCCCCCCACCCTCAGGCTGGCTTCCAGCTGAGTTAAGCCCAGGGGAGGCACCACCAGACCAGAAGGCAGGAGGAATGGGAAGGCAGTTCTTCCGCCCCTCCTGCCTTGCCTCAGTGGCCTCTCTGGAAGCCACTACTTCTGTTCCAGCTCCCCTGGGCATGCCTGCTGTGCTCCCCACTGACCCCAAGCCTCTTATCCTTCCAGCCTAGGCCGGACTGGCAACTCTGGCCCCTGTTGGCTTCTCATCTCCCCCCATCACCAGTCCCCACATTAAGTTCCTCCTTTTTCAACCCTTCTTTCCTGACCTGAGCATGTCCTGACTGACACAGCCAGTTGACCCTACCTGTTAAGAAAAGACCAAGAAAGTTCTTTCCATGTTGGGAAATGCTCCCACTCCCTGCCTCGCACTAATCCCACAAACGCACAGACCCGTCCTGGGCTCCCTCCAACCAGGCAGCCGCCTCTCCTGTGCCAAACTGACACCATCCCGGTCTGGAGACACAGTGTTCCAGAGATGCCTGCTGGAGCCCCGCTGTTATTCTTCTCCCAGAAATATTCCCCTCTTCTTGCCACGGTGACTTCTACACGCAGTTTGATGAGTGTCACGAAAACCTCATGTTAACTTGGGGAACATAAAATCTTCCCCGTATTAGCTGTGTCCCTCCTTGGGGGTGACATTCCTCACCACTGATTCCGATGGGCCTTGTATTCTTAGTAAGATTCTCAACGTTTGTGTCCTCGCATTCTCTCATGCTGGAGTTACTCCCGAGCATTTTCCAGAGTGGCAGTGGCCCCCTCATCTGCTGTGTTTTACTTGGTCATTGCTGTGCTTAGGAATGTGCTGAGTCTCTTTTAGAGAAAAATTCTGTAGGGCACATGTGATTGTTGGAAAGACAGACAGAAAGCGAGAACTCACCCCCAGGGAGGACAGCCACGCCGCAATCCCTTCCCCTCCATTCTCCTCTCGGGATCTTGAGCACGCATACACACATGCCCGGCCTGAGTTTTAAGCCACCAAGTCCGGGACTCGAGCCGCAGTCAGTTTCGTGGGAGTCCAACGACGTAACCATTCCGAAATATGCTGATTCTTTATGTTCATCTTGTATTCTGCCATCTTGCTGAACTTCTCATCACCACTAGTAATTTAACAGATGACGGAGGCTCCTAGATTTTCTAGGTAGAGGATCATGTCTATCCACAAGTAATAACAGAGGGGGACCAACAGATGGCAAAATGATTATGTCACTTGACTCCCACATAGTCAACTGTGGTTCGAATCCCAGACCTGATGGCTTAAACTCACATGCCTGCCCAAAACCACAAGAGGAGAATGGAAGAGAACGAACTGAAGCATGGCCACGCCCCTTGGGGAGCGATTTCTTGTTTTCTGTCTCTCTGTCTCTCTCTGTCTCTCCAGTGAGCACATGTGCCCTATAGTAAAAATCTCTCTTAAAAAAAAGCGATAATAATAACAGAGGTGGGTCTTTTCTCCTCCTTTACAAGTTTCTCTCTCTTTAATGCAAAGACTTTAGTTTTTAGCTAGAACCGGCGACAGAGAACTCTACGTTCACTTGATCCTGACTTCGAGCAGGAACGAGTCTAGTACCTCATTAAATATGGTACTTGCTCTAGAGTTCTGGCAGACACCCTTTATCAAGCGGAGGAACTTTTATTTTATTCCTAAGAGTTAGGTGGGTTTGGTTCTTTTTTTATTATTTTAAAGAATTGTTTTATTTAACTTTATCTATTTAAATTTGACTCTCTCTCTCTCTTGCTTCTCTGGCAGGAAGAGAGGAGGTTCTGTTCCCAATGGGTATGTCACTTGGACCAATCCTCCCATTAATAAAAAGCAGAAAAAACTGAACCAAAACTTAAAAATCTGATAGAATGCACCAGAAAGCTAAAAAGATCGTAAGAATTTCCATGCCAGGAGGATGGCCCAGGAGGCAACGCTGCTATCTAGGACTCTGCAGTCAGCAGAACTCTATCTAGGACAGCCCCGAGACCCGTCTCTGGCGTGTGCATGTGTGCATATTTTCTCCTGGTTACTCAGACATTAATGTGGCGTTTCTGTGAAATGACTTTGCAAATGTAATTAATGTAATCCCAAATCAGTTGACCTTTGAAGAGGTGGGCCTGACCTTATCAGGTGAGTTGAAAGGGACAGGTTCTTCCTGGCAAAGAAGACTCGGCTTGAGCGAAAGTCTGTTGCTGGCTTGAAGCTAGAAGAGGCCGTGCAGCCAGAATCCAGGCAGCTTCCAGGAACTGAGAGTGGCCCCTGGCTGGCGGGGCCTCCATCCTACGACCTCAGGGAGCTGCATTCGGCAACAACCTGCATGAGCCTGAGTGAACTCAGAAGACCCTGAGCTCAGATGAAATGCAGCTTGGCAGACCCATTGATTCCAGCCTTGTGCTACCTCAGCAAAGAGCCTGGCCCAGGGCGCCCGACTTTTTTTGCCTTCTTTTTCCACAAGAATGAGGTGCTCCCCAGTAGGGCCTTCCCCCCAGGACTTTCCCCAGCCTCAGCCACACGTGTGTGCCCAGAGAGCTCAGGGAGGAACTGGGACACAAACCCAGGACCTTTCCCGGGTGGGTCCAGGTGCATTTCCACGCCCTGCTACGTGGCCCCATGAGTGCCAGATTTCTGGCCTGCATGTCTGTGAGCGGGTGGACAGGTGACGTTTTCAGCCGCTAGAGCTGTGGCAACTTATCACACGACACAGAAATACATTTGCTGCTTCCGAAGGAGGTAACTGAGACCCAGTGACACTTTGACAGATTCACCAGAGACAGCCAAGGGCTTGCTGTTTGAAAATTGAGAAATTACACACTTAGTAACTCATGGATCAAAGGAAAACAACGTAAGTTAGAAACCGTGTTGACTCAGTGATAATGAAAATACCACACATCAAAATTAGGGAGATTGCAAGGAAAATGTGTTCACTATGAAATCCAGGTACTTTTGTTTTTGTGGGGGAGACATTTCTACTATAGGGTGTGTGTGCTCAACAAAGAGTAAGAAATCATGCCCCGGGGGGATGGCCACACCACAATCCCTTCTCCTCCATTCTCCTCTCAGGATCTTGGGCACACACACACACACACCAGGCATGAATTTTAAGACTCTGGGTCCAGGACTTGAACTGTGGTCAGCTACATGGGAGTCCAGCTACGTAACCATTATGCCATCTGCTGGTCCCAAAATTCTGTTTCAATACAAGTGCTAGAAGAGATGAGATTGAGACCAGCAGGGGCACGTGGTAAGGCGCCGCTCCCACCTGGTCTACCGCAGTCTCCACTCTGAAACTGGGGCAGGGTGCACTCGTGGACGGGCGAGGCAACGCAATTCTGCGCAGAGGGCCTCAGCTCCCTGCTAAGAGCACTCACTAAAACCACACCGCCTGGCTCCTGTGCTGTCCCATCACTCCCACTCTGCCCTCCCTCTGCCCCCTCTGAGGCACCACAGGAAGTGCAGTCGCAGGCCTGGACCTCCCAGCCAGCAGCGGCCTCAGACAGCCAGGCTGGCCCAGGAAACGAGGGCCTGGCTGCAGGGACCCAGCGACAGCACCCCACCTGGCTGAGAGGGTGGGTCCTGCAGGGCTTCCAGCTGACCTCCAGCCCTGGCGGCCAGGCCTGGGTTAGCTCCAAAGTCACGGCCAGTGGCCTTCAGCCCGGCCCCGTGCTCCTCCTGAGGAAGGGGCTGCGTCCACGCAGGGAACGTGGCCGAGGTCCTGGTGAACGGTGCAGAAGGCGTGTACTCGCAGGTCGCCGGCCCCTGGGCCTTCGGCTTTCAGTCCCCAGGACGGGCGCAGCTGGCCAAGCAGCCCGGGCCTCGGGCTCAGGGCTAACCCTCCCTGGTGAGCTGTGCCCCCAACTGATGTGGGAGGCATCAGCCTTGAAGGGTCAAAGGCGCCCCATCTTCCTACGAAGGTGGCCTAACTGCGCTCCATGTCCCACCTCTCCATACTGCTGCAGTGAGTCAGTTCCCAGACGAGTTTGGGAACCGTGGGGCCCTCACCCAGGAAAGAGGTGGGGACCTCCAGGGGTGCCTGACAGGAATGCAGCCTGGGCGTGAGGGCAGCGGGGCCCAGGGTCTGGGAGCATGCTCTGGCGGGAGTCTCAGGCCCTGGAGTACAGGAGGGCAGCAGCTCCTGGAGTTCCAGAGGCACCCAAACCACCCAGACAGGGCGCCAGGTCCTAAGCACTCATAGGGGCGGGAGCCTTTGCTTTTAAAACACTATGCATGGCGGCCATCACAGCTCTGGGCAAGCGCGTCACAAATGCCACTCCGAGGTGCCCTCCTGCTACTCCAGTTATTAAATTATTCCTGGGGATTAAGGGAAGCCATGAATAATTCAAAGCAAGGGATAAAGTCAGATCTAATCAGCTCTGTCTGCCTGCTTGAACTTTGACACGACCACCGGAGCCTGCAGGAAAGGCCAACGGGAGACAGAAATGAGAGTTTGGGTCACAATTTGTATCCAGGTGTCTCAGAGGAGGCTCCCAGCACAGCCCCGCAGCTGCACTGGCTGCTCCGCTCCGCTCCTGCTGTCCGGCCGGGGCATCTCCCTGGTCCTTGGCGGCTGAGGCTGGTCCAGGCGTTATGGAGCCAGGTGACCTTGGGAAGGCACCCAACCATGCCAGGCTACAACGGCCAAGTCAAAAAAGGGAATGAAAATACAATGCACCGGGACCAGCAGGTGACATGTTGGCTAAGGTGCTGGACTCCCACAAGGCTGACTGCAGTTCGAGTCCCAGAACCGGCAACTTGAAAATCATGCCAAACTGTCTCTCGGTCTCTCTCCAGCATGTGCACATACACTGTGACAAAGCCCGACACGCGACCTGCCTCCCGAAGTTGTCCGAGCACTCTCCCGAGTGACGTAAGGAAGTGCTCCCCGGGGACCCACGGGCTCCGCACTAGGGTGGCACCGGGCTGGCCTGTCCTCTGTAGGAACACTCTGGCAGTGGAAGGCACGTGTACCCATCACGTCAGCTCACATCCCAGTTCTACCGCACAGAACACGCCCCATGCATGTCAACTCACATGGTGGCAGAAACCACACCTTCCCCAGGGAACGGCGACCACCAGCTCTCAGTGTGCGTGGGGGACTGGGTCCAGAGTCCCTGGGTACTGACATCTGTGGGTGCTCAAGTCTGCCCTACGGCCCTTGAAGGTGCTGTCTCTCCATCTCTCTTATTCAGGGAAGAAATAAATAAATAAAACTATTTTTTAAGAATTATTTCATCGGCGGGACCAGCAGTTGATATAATGGCTATGTCACTGGACTCCCATGTAGTCGACCGTGGTTCAAGTCC